TAGCATTCGATTTTTGTCGTTATAGAGTACATGTCGAACGATACTCGAAACGGTGCTGCACGGTACGAAATTGACGACACATTTGAACCAATCACAGCGCGTGATACTACTGTTCGTCCAATCAAAATGCTCGTACACGGCCAAGACACATCATTACGAAATTTGCTCACAGAACGAAACATGGATATTGTATGTGACAATTTGATAGAAAACTCACGATTTCGGCATCCAATGTATGAACAGCATCTAATGTGATTGTACTAAAGAGAAATATGTCGTATGCAACTTTCGACAAATCGATTTCGATGCTCTCGACTCGTCGACTGAGCATAAAATATGATTTAGCACGCTTTAAGAACTTTTAAGCAATGTACTTCTGTAAAAATTCATGAAGACTGAAAGTAAATTTAAAAGAATCTTCCAGAGATCGATGAACTACCTTGCGAGCAGAGGTTTTTTTCCTGAACCCACGGAGGGTTCAGAAAAAAAACCTCTGCTAGCAGGGTATCGATTAACAAATATCGCATACGAATTTGATAAATTGGACATATAAACTCAAATACAACTCTGGCCATGGAATATAGAACGTTTTAGTGTCGTAAAACACTAGCTTCTACTTGAAATGATTCTTGGAATAATTTTTTTAAATGTGATATTTCTTATATCGATTATTGCATTAACCTTGACATAGATTAACTTGGATTAAGCCAATAAAATTATCATTCGAGTAACACATTTTTGTGCCATTATGTTAAACCATAAAGCCATAAATCACCCCTCACTGATTTATTACCTTTATTATTATGCAGCTATCGATCTCTTAAGAACCTTATTTTTTGTGACTTTAACGGATGAATAAACAGAGTAACAAACGAACAGTTTGACACGAACCCCATCGCTCCATGAAACTTTTTCTGACAGTACTTTATGATTTTGTCTTTATTGATAATGAAAACTTTTTCCTACGACACGTAAGAAGTGGATAAAGTGACTATTCGAGCACAGTTATCATTTTACGAAAACTTAGTAAATAATTATTGATTTATTCCCTAAAAAAGCACTGCAAAAACGATTTACAAAACTGTGAAGTTTAGTCAAGAGCAAAACACTATTTAAAACAATTACTTTAGTAGCATTTTCGCACGGTTTCRATGAATTTGCAAAGTCAGCTTGAAGGCAGCATTTATCATTTCCGTCACTGCATRGGGGGTGGAATGAACCGGGAAAAAACAATACGAATGTTATTTTCCATTGTTACTGGTACATAATTTATATTCTTTAAATTTCTATTAAGTTATTTCATCTAAAAGAGATTTGGAATTTTATTTATTCATAGTAGGTATAAACTTCGGTAGATGTCTAAAGAATCTTACAAACGTAAACCAGCATCTCTTCATCGACTCCTCCGCGGTCCTTGATGTCGACATAAAAAAGCCGCTTCAGCAAAAAAATTAATCGAAAGATCGATACTTACCGATTATGTTCAACTTCAAAACCAAATCTCTTCGTTACTTGTTCGACTCTTGTTTATAGTACCTTCCGAAAAACGATTTTTGATCTTTCTTTGATAGTTTAACGAAGAATTTCGCGATCGAAATGTCCTAAATGATCGGCAAAAGCCGAGATTAGGTTGTAGTCAGTTTGTTAGAAGGTAGATGGTGTTGCCGTTTGAGTGCGAACAGACGGCGAGTGCGCATAATCCAAAACAACTTGAGAAATAAATCTATTTCTGAATAATCAATAGAGGAACTTCTAGTAAGTTATAAATAGAGTTCCATAGCAAAGGCGGGAATTCTGAGGCTGGAGGCCGTTCTGGATGGTCGTAATCTTATTGATACTGCTTGCTCGTTGATAAGTGATAAAGAAAATAAGAATGTAAGGAAAGAAAAGTGGAAGGAAAAAATTTGTATTAGAAAACGGACACAAATAGAATGGAAGATGTATGGAGGAGTTGAAAAGGGAGGGTTGTAAATAAAGAAACACAAATAGAATGGAAGATGTATGGAGGAGTTGAAAAGGGAGGGTTGTAAATAAAGAAACGTAGAATGAGATGAAACTATAGGAACGAGAAATGGAAGAGAAATGGAATGGGAAATTTTTTCAGAGCGACATGAATGGAATTAGGTGAGAAAAGGAAAACCAAGATAAGGAAAGGCGTGTTGGTATAGTAACTAGTTGTCAAGATCGATGAACCAAATGCATTACACCCACACGTCGCTCTGTGATATATTGTGTTACATTACATTGCGTTACATTATTCAAACGTCGTGATACACCTGATCTATTTGTTTTCAAAAACAAAACACTTGCCAAAACTTGAAAACATTCACTCCATAACACAGCTATGAATTTTCGAAATTATTTGTGGACATTCCCTTGATATTCTTAACCAAAATTGTAGCCTATTTACGAACTGGTTTTGCCATTCTTTCGAAAGAAATTGGGAATTTTCTAAATCATGGATTGAGGATTTGCCATCACTTCGCAAGAAACTAAAAGCTTAAAATTGGCTTGAAAACTCTCTCTCTGCCGACAAGGTTTTCATTCCATTCCAACGAGAGATTGTGACACTCTTCAATGGTAAGTCAATTGATACTTCTAAATATAAATATAGATATCATGGAGTAAAATAAAAGTTTTATTTCAAATACGGAAGCAGGCACAATAATAAGATCTCTGAACATCAGTCTCGTCGTTCTCATAATTACATGGCTCAGTTATAATTCTGTAAATTATTAGATTAATCTCTACGAATTCATGACAAAGAGGTTAATTTGTACATAGCTATCTTATGGTGATAAATCTAACGAGATAATTTCAGTTTTTGATATGTGAGAATTTATATGTACGAGACTGTATGAATGTAAATAATTTATCGGCTAGAAAGGTTTGATAGAACAACTAAACAAATAGCTTCTCTCGTTTTTTCTCGTCATATACGCCAATGATAAATGTTACTCAAAATTATATATAACCAATCTTTTCATTGCCAAAAACTTCTACTAGGATAAAAATAAGAATATTTCTTTGTCATTTCACTCACGATAATAAATGATATCTCAGCAAATTTTGTATTTTTAGCGATTATAGTTTCAACATTATCGTTGGCTGTCAAACATGAAGGTAATTTATGTTTCAGTGCTGGTCGCATGTTTGATTGGATTTTCAGGTAAATATTGAAGCCAAATAATATAATCGTTCTTTCTTCTACCGCTGGTGTCATCCATCCCATCCCATTCATCCTTCCATTTACAAGTTAATCCATTCCATTCGCTTGTCTATCCAATTTTATCCATTCATCCCTACATTCCATCTATCCGATTCATTAATCTATTTCTTCAATCATCCATTCCATCCCATTCACCCATCCCTATATGTCTATATGTTACCCATCCATCAGTTTATTCACCCGGCTCATTTTTTATTTCTTATTTTTCTTTCAAAACTCCAGACGCATTCTACTGTTGGGAGTGTAGCTCCAAACATGGTAACTGTTCCCAAGATTCCTTGCACGGTGCAATCAAAGTTCACTGCGGAAACGGCTACGATTACTGCGCCGTGTATCGAACAATCTTATCTGACGAAACCCCTGGTGTCTTCACGCGAGCCTGTACAACATCCTGTAACATGCCACACGTCACCTGGGTAACGAAGACCAATAATACAAGGGTAAAACATTGTTTAAAGTGCTGTAACAGTGAATATCAATGTAATGGTTTACTGGGAGACCCGTGCAGCGATACGAACAAGGTACAAGACAGCTTTCAAATAGTATTTGGCTGTTTATTACTACTGTGGAATCTGATTGGATGAAAGAGTGGATTCTATAAATCTTCCATAAACTGTGTCATTCATTTGCTGACGGATGGACCCAAGTTCGCAATAGTCCCCTTCACAGTTCCCTGCGCCATCTTAAAAGGTAGCCTTGCCTTTGCATTGAAGCGAGATGAACAGTGAGCTTGCAATGATAGAGACCTTTCTTTAACACCTTGGACAATTATTCACATGTCTCTATCATTGCAAGCTCACCGTTCGACTCGCTTCGATGCAAAGGCAAGGCTACCTTTCAWGATGGCGCAGGGAACTGTGAAGGGGACTATTAAACTGATATGAGAACATGTATTTTTTTGTAGATAAATCACGGAAAGCATACAACAATAAGATGTTCTTTTCAATAATTCTCGCATTTCGTTTACTCTCATTTTTCTAGTGGTTGCATAAGCGTGCAGCGTCAGGCAGCAGCTGATCTGAGAGAAAATGTTAGCCAATTAGAGAAAATTWAAAAAACTGAGATGTACAAATATACCAAATACAAATATACCAAATTGATGGTTTTCAACCATTCCCAAGAGAATTAAATAACAAAAGACACGGCGGCCATGTTGGAGGATATAACAAAAGAATTCATTGGCAATTCTTTTGTTAAGTTCCTCCAACATGGCCGCCGTGAAAACCATCAATTGAAAATATTGATTATGATACCACATCGCAGTTGAATTTGTGCTCAATATTCGAAAACCACCGTCTCCTCGACTCCTGCTTTCTTAATATTCTTTTCGTAGTTCTTCAACTTTTTTTGATTTCTTGCATAAAAATCCCCCGTTCTTGATTTTTTCTGTCTTTCCACCTCGTTAACGACAAGCGAGGGCCTCTTCTTGTTCATTTTGACTCTGAGTAGAGGATCTTCAGTCGGGTCAGTAAGTTCGGTGTCCGTTCGATCACGTCGGAATTCCATGATATCACTAGTAGAAATGATTGATGGACGTTCGTTGATTCTGGATGGGTTTGTTTGGTCCAAGCGCTCGCCGTATTGAAGAACGCCATTTTCTAGCCCTACTCTTCTATTCATGTTATCTTTTGCATACGTCAAGCTGTCTTCATTTGTATTTTGCTCTACGGGACAAAAATCTCCAATCGCGTTCCATGTTCTTTCCTCGCAACGATAAATAGACTGAAGAGTAGTTCTGTTACTATCGTTACCATCATAGATAGGATTCATTCGCTTCCCTACGATCCACGGGCGGTTCATTGTAGCACCTGCGTCATATACCGGCCCATTTTGCACTGCATGAGACCATGGTGAATTTATTTCCTGCCATGGGAAAACTTGTGCTCTTATTTGCCTGGAATATGGCCAGTTGAATTCTTCAAGGTTCTGGAAGTTATCTACGATGGCTGCAGAGAGTTTTTGCTGATGGTTGATGTCTTTGTTGTTCGATTTCCTACACAGAACAGCAAAGATATGACTGCCATGTTGGACGAATTTAACGGGTTTATTTTTTTGATATCCAACATGCCGGACAAACACAAAGATACACAAAATTAGCAGGGCGGAAAAATTGTTATGAACATCACAGCCGCCGGTTTGTTGGTTGGATTTAATATGGTTTCTCTCGTATGTGTCATCCAAAATGCAGCCAAAAACAGAAGATTAAAATCAGCAGGGGAAAGTCGTTAGGAATGACACAGCCGCCATGTTGGATGAATTTAACAAAAGATAATGTCGTTGGTTTAGGTATGTCATACAGCATGGCGGCCATATTGGCAGTCGTATACGAATTCCTACGTGTTTCTAGACTGACATGGTGAAGTGTTTATCAATATCACGCATCTACTTGCTCTGATAATATTGAGCAACACGACGATGTTTGAACACAAATATATTACTGATATATTATATTATTATTAATAATATAACATTTGACTAGCACAAAACTTCTTGAAAGTGGAGATTAAGTCGGTTCTCTATAACCGATGTGGTTTTTTTTTTTAAATGTAGACGCACACACTACCACTCGATTGAAGGCTTTATGATGCTGGCTAGTTTAGTTCACTGACTGCGTATTCGTTTTATTCGATTTTACCTGTAAGAACATCTTAGATAGTGCACCCAAATGGTTTTCTTCATAACTGCGTGCAAAACACGGCACTGACTTTGCATCTATCTGGCTTTTTTGATTACGTACTAAAACTTGAGTATTAAGTGCAGGGAGATAATTTCTAGTCTTTTCTGATGTGTCGAAAATAGAACACTCAAATGGCTTCCTATAATTAAGCGGAAAGAACTCTTACTTGACTTTCCAACAAAGTAGGATCGTCATTACGATTGCAATGATTATCAACGCTCCACAAACTCCAAGAACAATCCAAAGGATATTTAACGAACCTAATTCTAGAAACATAAAATACGAAAAAGTTATTAAAGAATACGCGCAGTTTCAAAATGGTTTCCATTGGCATTTCGGTACATCTTATCCAATCGTGGTATATATTATCAGAAAGGCGATGACCTTATTAAAAAGTTTGCGCATTTTTCTTCCCTCGTACAAAATCTCAACTCAAATCTCAAAATGTGATAGATAAAGTACACTCTACCTACCCATTACGAGGTTACAACTGACGAGAATTTCTCTCCCTGGTATGAAAATAGACCATGAACAACAAATTATTTAAATTATGCTTATTTGAAGTCGTATCGAATGAAAAAATATCAATGGGTTTTGATTCAAATTCACGTTGTAAAATCAAAAACTGGTGTACGTAATTAGGAAACTAATTTAAGAATATTTTTCGAGGGGGAGGGAGTGAGGGTGCTTTGTTTATGAAGATAAAAACGTACATAAATAAATTATAAATCTTATTTAAAATTCTTATGATGCGTTAACTCTTGAAGTAAAAATAAAATGTCGCGCAATAAGTCAAGAAAAGAGTAATCTTTAAAGTTCTTTATATTGTCTTAATGGATATTAATGTGACAAGGGGTTTGGGTGATATTGCAAGAGAGCAAGTGTTGCGAATCGAATTCGTACGTTCGTTACAATTCTACCGTAACTTTTGCCATGTAAGGACCACTTAGGAACAACGTGCACCAATTCGTATCCGCGTTATATTGACAGATGAAATATCTATTTACATGAGACCCTTTAAAAACTATTTTTGACGTGAGGCAAACAGGAAAAATCAAAAGAAATGTCAGAAAGTTCAAAAGTAAAAGTGTAATTTCTTTCTCTTTTTTCTCCGTTAGCCTCGCAAAAAAATGAGGGTCCCGTTGTAAAAGGTTGAATTTTAAGACGCAAATTTAAAGAAATATTTCGCCGTATTGGTAGTTTCTTAGTTTCTTCCATTGATTTCTCTGTCCCCCTTTTATTCCACCTTCAGTATATTGTGAAGCATTGTGGGTACGTACTGATCTTAAAAAGCGATCAATTTTAAAAGTTAAAGAACAAGCAAACATACAACAAATTTTTTTTCAAACGATTGTCAGTGACTTAAACAAAATAACCTGTGTAGCTTGTCTGCGCAGGCCGCAAAACAAAACTTTTTACATCCTCCCAGATTCGCTTAAACTTCGGTAAACCGATGGAGTTTCCGACTGTTGGCCGACGAGTGACCGACGTACGAGACTTTGCAGTCGCCGACAGTCGAACGAACCGAGTGTGCAGATTTGTGCACACTTGTTCCATTGGATCGCTTATTTTCACTTAAACATTGAGTCTTTTACCATAAAATAACTCAAAATGTCTAGGAAAACGTTAGTATTTGTCACTGGGAACCAAAACAAACTAAAAGAGGTAAGAAAATAATAAATACAATACATTTTAACTCGAGTTTAAGCTAAAGTTTTATATTCGTACTAAACAAGACCGAAAAATAAATTTAAAAAATGAGTAGAAAACATTTAGAAGGTCTTTTAAAAACACCTTTTAGGAGGGCAAGAGTTGTGCTTTGAAAATTAAATCAGAAGAAGTGAAAAGGTTTGATGCTAAAGTGCTACGACGACCACAGGAAGCCCAATTATAAACAATCAGCATCAGAATTTTTGAATCGAAGGTTTTTCCATTTTCCTGGTTTTGCTTCCTCCACAAAGTCAAAAATCTAAATTCCAATTTTAACTTTGAGTTAGTGGTGTCCTGACTTTGATCAGACCAGAGGTTACCAGTTTCAGGGTTTGATCTGTGAGTTAGTCGTGCCCTGAACTCAGGGGGTGTACTAGAAGTCAAGAGTCTGGGTACAACATCCCCGTTAGAAATGCTTCAAAGTACAGTGATAGCCCTGGGGAGGGGACCCTGATTTTGATCAGCCCAGAGGTTATCCTAGTGTTTGATAATTTTCTTTCTTTTTCTTTTTCTTCTTCTTTTTTTTTTTTTTTTTTTTTTTTTTTTTTTTTTTTTTTTTTTTTTTGTTTTTTTTTTTTTTTGTTTTTTTGTTGTTGTTGTTGTTGTTGTTGTCAAGGTTGTTGCTATTTTAGGTGATTCCTTCCCATGGAAAGTTGAATCAAGAAACATAGACTGTAAGAACTTATCCATATTTTTTACTTTAAGGAAAGTCCTTGCAGCATAGACATACTAACTTGGACTGCTCTTATGAAGTTAACCAATCATAATAGAGGACTAAATCAAAGCATTCCAGCTTTAACCAATCAGTGTTAGGCAACAGTTAAAGCCTAGATCTTATTTAATATCTGATAAAAACAACTTAGATGTTATGTTCTTTAATGTGGGAATAAACAAATTAATTGGTTAAGGTCAATGTGATAGTGATTTTGCTCTCTCATGATTGGCTGATTTTACTCTGTATTGTCAGTTATCATATTTTTGTAAAAGTGGTCTAGTTAGTGTGTATGTGCTGGAATGCACACCCAGACGCATTAAACTATCGTCACTAACTTTGAAAGTTTTTGAATATATGTTGAAACACTTACAGTTTTGCTCCCTCTGTAGAAACCTACATGTGTATTGTAGGTTTCATATTGTGAGGTATCTAGTCATTTTGCCCTCAAGTTGTTTCACCCACCAACAGTTTGCACACATGTTAAGTTGATAAGTTGATTTGCACACAAATATGTAATGATAACATGTTTATGTGGAGCTGTTTGGTTGAGAAATCAATAATTTAGATCAAAGAGCCAAAACATTTTTAATAGGCCTCTCAATGGGTATGCAAACATAATTGTCATCACTTATTAGCTGCCATTTTAATTGCACAAAAGTGGGGACTAGAATGCAGTGGTGATGCATGTGGAGTAAACCTCACAGATAGAAAAGTCCCTTATAACTACAAACAGTGATGATCGTACAATATAAAATATACTCTTCTGTCAGAAGTTAGCTAAAAAGCAGCATTAGCACATGAAGAAATCATTGTTTCAAGTTAAACATTTAAAAAAATGTAATTTTTTTATCAGTACCTGAATTTCAAGGTGAACCTGATGAGATTTCAAGAGAAAAATGTAAAGTAGCTGCTGAAAAGGTTAGGGAAATTAGCCAAATAGTTGTAATGTATTTATTATAATTACTTTGGTGTGCTGGTTGCACGATTTGTGGACTTATACATAGTTATTCCCTCCCAGACCAATTCTGCTATGCCTCATTCTATGATACAGACATTGACAACACTTTTCCTTTTACCCCCAACCCTTCACTGCGTACCCACTAAGTCCCCCACCACCCCCAAAAAGGTTTTACTATCAATGCTTAAAATAACAGCAGATCAATCGTTGATGATCACAGGCCAAATTAGTTTTATCTTAGTCATAATTCATTTATGGCTAATTGTTACTTGTCAAAATGATTGGCAAGGCAAAGATTTGACCAGACCGGTCCCAGTTCTGGTCAGACATTGTCCAATGTCCAGCAGTTATTTCAGCACTGTACCATTATTTAATTCCAATAATGTAATTAATTATTATAGATATAAATCTTTTACACTGTTATTCTTTGTTGTCATGGTAACAGATCCAAGGACCAGTGATAGTAGAGGACACTTGTTTAGGTTTTAATGCATTCGGTGGCCTTCCTGGTCCATATATGTAAGTCATTTCATAAGTATCTATATTTTCACAGGATAGAGGTTTTGCACCATCACCTACCAGTGGCCATGTCAGGTGGCAGAACAATAAAATCCATTTACTCTTGGGAATTAAATTGTTTCTCATGTAAAACAAGTAATAATTTAATACTAATAATAATTCAATACTTATATTGTGCGTGTTACATAGGAAGATGCTCACACGCGCATTACAAACTGAAATAGAAATTGTATTTTCCTTGCCATCCAACATGGCTTTCATCATTTGATCATGCAAAATCTTGTTAAGTTTCTGTGGTAATTACACCCACAACTCATTTTACTCAACCTGGACAACTAGCCGTACATCAAGACATCTGTGTTTTTAGCTTCCGTCGATAAAATCTCCAGAGGTCTGAATTTGGAAATTTTTCAATTGACGGCAGCCAAAAACCCAGATGTCTTGGGTTAATTTGGTCATGTAATTATGAGAATAGATGTAATATCCTTTTAAATATCGTATAATATTATAATGCTTGTGTGTAGAACAAGATAATGTACTGTATAAGTAATCTGTATCATAATATTTTAAATTGTATATTTTTTTTCCAGAAAATGGTTTCTTAAGAAAATTGGTCCAGAAGGTAATTGACAGATTTCACACTAACCTTACATTGTGGTTTATATGTTAGTGAAAAATATTTAGTTACAAATGAAGAGATAAATAAGCATCTTAATTGTAGGTCTCCATTGTATGCTGACTGACTGGGAGGACAAGTCAGCATTTGCACTTTGTACTTTTGCCTTTTCTTCTGGGATAAAGGATGAACCGATTCTTTTATTCAGAGGAAAAACTCCTGTAAGTACAGGGAAAACATCTTAATTTGTATTTAGTTGCACAACTACTGATGAAATACTTCTGGAATCACTAAGCTATTAATTGCATAATTTTTGAATTTCAGTCAACTCACATCACTATTGCTTTATTCAAATATGTTTTATGTTTAGGGTAAAATTGTTGAGCCGCGTGGACCTAGAAATTTTGGTTGGGATCCCTGTTTCCAGCCTGATGGATTTGATCAAACGTAAGTTTAAACCATGGTTGAATGTAACATGACTAGGGAGATACAATCACGAAACCACTTTCTTATGCAATATAGACCCTTTTAGCTTGAGCGTAAACTACCAGTTGCTCTGATGCAGCAAGGTGCGTAGCCAGGATTTCCCAAAGGGGGTGCACAAATCTGAAAAGCTGCCATTTTCTTTGTTCCCTACAAAATGCCAAACCAATAAAATAAAATAAAAAGGATTGGGAATTTGGACAACCTGTGAAATGGTACAATAAATCAGAAATACTAAAAACAGGCTACAGCCAGATTGTGTGATTATTTATAACTCCATTTCTACAAACGAAGGGGTCACTGGCAACCTAGTACACCCCCTTCTCCTTTGTGACAGCCTTGTGCAGCACCGTCACAGAGGATGGCATGCACAAATTTTAAAAGTTTATCAAACTTGTGTGAAACAGATTTTAAATCGTACCTTTCTAGGTATGCTGAAATGGCTGCAGAAGTAAAAAATAGTATTTCACACCGAGGAAAAGCACTAGCTGTGCTGAAAGAACACTTTACAAGTTTAACAAATGATGGCCAGTCTACGAACAAGAAGACCAAGACAGACAGCTGAATATTATGATATTCCACTCGTAAGCATGAAATATATGTCATGTTGTATAAAGGGCATGCCTTAACTTTTCTATACTTGACTCAACACTTGCTATATTGTATTAATTATGCTCTTCTTGATTCTAATACCCAGATTTTTCCTTAGTATACCTTGATTTTGCCTATGATATTGTGCTATACTTGCTTATTCTCTCTTAAATCTTCAACGACCTAATACATAATGGACTAAGAGGTTTACTGACCTTTACTGACCTACATGTATATAAAGTTGACGTAATGAGTACTGTATAAAGCAAATGACCTGTATAAAATATGCAATATGAAAGTGGTGCTCCACAAGGTTCAGTTATAGGACCTAAAGTATTTAACTGGGAATGTTCTCACATTACTCATACAGTAATAGAGCATAATGTCATCCTCGGCTCTGCATAATACAAATGATCTTGTCCAAGCAGAATGTTAAATTTTTGTCCCTTTGTTACTGTAATTGGAGAAATCTCTAAAGAGACAAGCCTTGGGCTATTTTAGTTATAGGCGGGAACATTGTATCCCATTGTATCCCAATCCATATACAATCGGCATCCTACTGGAGGTGTGTTTCATACCTTATTTTTATACTTAACATGGAGATCCATTTTACTTGGATTGTGCACCGCAGAAACGCGGTTATAAGCCCTGGCTTATACAATTTAGTAAATAGTTTTGGATTAACTTATAATCTAGAGACTTACAGTATAACCAGGGGGGCTTTAAAAAAGGGAGGGGAAATCATCTGAAACTGTTTTTGTTAAAAAAAATGTAGTCATGTGTATTTCAATTGAACAACAATGATGATGCAACAATGATTGTAAAAGCTTTGAAAGGCGAATGTGCTGAGAATGAAAAACTACATTTTGAGCAAATCACAGTGCGCTTTGTGGCTGTACTGTGGTACTCCACCAATGGAAGGTGCCTATAGCCGGTGAGGGCTTTTGGCCAGGAGGGCTTATTACAGCGGGGAAGGGGGGGGGGGGGCTTATAACTGAGGAGGCTTATCATATAATTAGGAACGTCATGCTCCATTCGTGCACTCTTTGCCTCTCCATTTTCCTTGTGTATCAATAAAGGCGCCGTGTCCCACACCACCTGACAGTGCCAGGACGAGCCTCAATATTAATGCCTTGACTTTCCCATTGGATGGAGAGATGAATGTGCCAAAGGTGTTACCTTTGGCTCTAGCTATATGCGTTCTTGTTGCTGCTAAAAGCTAATTTGGCTTCTGTTTTCATGTATATAAAACGATTGTACTGTTTCTGCTGTCTTGTGATGTCATAAAAGCTATATTTTTATCCCAAAAAACCGTCTATCACTCCTCTCTCTTAAAACCATACACGGAATTATTTAGTAGCCAATGGGAACATGGTTCACATACCCACTAGTAACTCCAGTAAATCTCTGGATAATCCTACAGAGGTTGCTTTTACTATTTCTGTTAATTGATAACATTTGAAGGTTGATCGAAACATGCACAAAGCCTTAATGTTAGGACCTTTCCTTTTATCATTGTTAATTAAAAATTAAGAGTTGCCCGCAAGACTTAAAGCATGAGCGAGAAAGAAGAAAGCATCGTAGTCTTTGTACTGTTAAGATTTCTAGCCTACAAGTAAAAAAATATGCCAGGGTAAGGTTTCCCACACAGTTCATTTTTGGGCCCCCTTTAAATCTACTCCTACTGATGATATGAGGGTGACTTAATTTCAATTGTTGCAAGTGTACCAAATGTAACTAGTGTTGTTCCACATATATTTCTGCCTATGTTGGGGATTCAATTTAGTTCTCATGAGTGAGAAGTGATTTTGTTAATTTTCGCTGTGGTTTAAGGTTTCACTTGCAACATGTCGTTTGGATCGGGTTCCTTAATTTTTGTGAAGCACTTATAATACAATTTCCAATTCGGTGATGTATGATGTATGGTACTTGGTCCTATTAGGTTACTCCGTGTAATAAATATGCGCGTCGGCACARGTTGTTCCCAAATTATCGATATCGTAAAAGTTGTTTGCCAAATCCTGGCCAAACCAAATTCTGAATCGCTGTCCTTTCTTTACAGTGATCTGTGGTGAAATCTCAGGAAAGATGAGCTCTGGACTCATGTTAGTGTAGCCAGATAAGTCGTACCCCATCCTATCATAATCCATGTCCAATGGATACCCCAGAGGTGGGGTGATTCTTGCATTGTTTTCGTCGGTGACGTGAAGCTCGATCTTCATAGGAAATGTCCTGAGCAAGGGAAGGAAAAAAAATGCTTTGGTGCCCCAGTTTCCCAGTCCTGCATAGTCCAAGGGCCCACCGATGTGAGCCACGCCGCCTGACAGGTGAACGAGCCTGAATGTTTTGACCTTGCCATCGAATGGAGCGACGAATGTACCAAAATTGTCACCTGTTGCACCAATACAAACAGGGGCCGTGTTCACCTGGATTCCCATTGCGGCAACTGGGAATGAAAACAAGAAAAAATTAAATTACACTGCCTCATTCACAGGCTTATCTTTATAAGTACGACAGAGCAATTGTGTTAGGAAAGTAGAAGAAGCCGCCCATTTTAATAAGAGTCAATATGATTGAGAAATTTTATTTTATACCATGTGGGATAGTAGAAAGCCCCTTTATAGCAAAAGGGTCTTCTGATGACTTGATGGGGTTCCTGTAATTTTGGCGTTAGCTTTCGCGCCAAAACGCGCGCGCTCACTCTGAGACTCGCTTCGCTACTGATTAGATAGCCAGGGTAAGCCTTCTTCTGGTCTCTAACCTTCATCTATCACTGTTTATTAGGCGACTCCTAATAATAATGTTAATCATGAATGACGTAGTTAATACTCGCAAACTTACTGTGACAGTACTTTCCATTGAAGTTTGGTTTGCACAAACAGAATTGGCCGCTGCCATCTCCAAGAGAGTAACATTCGCCGCCGATGGTATAGCATGGATTGGATACACACTGCAAAAAGAAAAAGACAAAATAAGAAGCGTTGCTTCAAAGTTTTATTGAACAACGAACAAAGTCAGGGCACACTCGCACTCGAATTGAAATTCAGAGTGCTGAGTTTTGTGGAGGAATACCAGAGAGAAGGCTTTATTTATTAACTTTTGACATGACGTCCATGATGTTGGGGACATCGGAGCAACGTGGTCCACTTGAACGGCCCCAKGGAGCACAAATACGCGCGCTGTTGAATTTTTATCTCGTCCTTTGTAACGTCACAACCGTTGTCGTAGCGTCGTGAACTTGCCCGGTTTAGAGAAAAATGGTCGTGATCATAAATGATTTTTTCTCTAATAGAAAAGTTAAGAGCAGAACTATAAAGAAAGCACTTATCAACCTTTCGTGTCTTAAACATCATTCCTGGTTGTGGTGAGACCGAGTACTCTGTTGCACGATCGTTGTAGAGCAGGCTACACATCTTAGACAAGGGATTATAGTTGAACATGTAACACAACCCTTGCGCCATCATCTGGCATGTACACTCGCATGCCATCTCATTTATGGTTGTAAAGGACCGCAGAATTGGACCAGATATCGAATAATTAGAAATGGAGGCAGTGTACTGAATTGCAGGAACATTTGGGTCTGTCTTACAAATAGGTTCTGGAAAAAAATGGATAGAAAGCCACCACATTAAACAATGGCATGTTTAAAAGATTCATGGGTTTTTTTTTTTGTTTTTTTGTTTTTTTGTTTTCAATAAAAAATGTGGAGTTTCTTGGCTTACTTGCACATTTAGGCCCCGTGAATAATGGATGGCAAAGGCAGGATTGTTTGTTTTGGTTACCGAGAACGAAGCACTTTCCTTCATTGAGACAGGGGTTAGAGTTGCACTGAAAGAAAAAGTAGAATCGTGATTACATGAAATTCCACGTGGAGGGGAATTCCGAATGGACAGTATTGATGATTTTCACGTCGGCCATCTTRGAGGAATTTAACAAAAGAATTTTGTTATTTCCTCCAACATGGCTGCCGTGTCTTTTGTTATTTAATTCTCTTGGGACTGGTTGAAAACCATCAACAGCGGCTGCCAGAGGCGCCTTTTTATGCTTTCAGCTCGAACCCGTTGAGCTGTGCTACTGCTGTAGTTGTRGTGGCGAAGTAGCGAGTAGCGATGGCGATTATTTTTCATGGTGGGAGGAGGGGATCTAAGAGCGAGGGGGAACCCGACTCCGCTACCTTAATGCCTTAGGTTTCTGAGGACGAAAATTCCAAAGACTTATTACTATTCACTCCACTCAAGGTTTGATCAGACTATTCTTTCTAGAAAATCTCATTAGATGATCAGGTCTATTTTCTTTTGTGATTACATCCCGTCCTGCGTTGCCATGACTCCCAAATGATGTGCATGGCAATTAACCAATAAGAAAGCACGAGAATTGCGTGCGGAACAATCCAATTATTTTTGAATACCATTAAAAAGTGAGAGAAGTGTTCATTTCAAAAAAGAAAAATGTAAAAAAAAACTACAAAACAAGAATCTGGTAAAAAAAGAAAACAACAGTTATAACAACAACAAAAACAACAATAGTAACAAGAACAACAAAAAGAGCAACATGGACGCGAACATCAAGAACAACATCAACAACCTTTCGAGCCTTAAAAGTGGATCCTGGCTTCTGGACTACCGAGTACTTCGCTGCTGTGTCCTTGTAGAGAAGCTCGCAAAATTTGGTCGAAGGATTGTAGTTGAACGAGTAGCACAGACCTTGATCTTTTTCATTGCAAGCGCACTCACAGGCTGACTCGTTAGTGGCGGTGAAAGACCAAAGTATTGATCCAACGATGGAGTAATTCAGTATGGCATTAGCGTATGGTGTGATACTCGAAGTGAAGGTACAAGTTGGATCTGCAAGTAGATGTACATAATTATAGTACATGTTCGTATTGAAGATTGACCAAAATACGACATTATCTCTTTAAAACTAGCATAAAATATGACTCACTTTGGCATAAGGTTCCGTTAAACATGGTTTCGCAGAAACAGTACTCGTTGCCGGTCATGTTCTGAGCAAATGAAAGACACTTTCCTCCATTGAGACAAGGATTAGCCTCACACTGTATAAACCAAATGGAAAAGTTAATAATATTTGTAACTTTTAAGATAAAAATTGGTGCCAATATAAACTCATTACTAGACCCAAAGGCCTGGACATTTATCGCGCATGCTCAGTGGGATGTGATTTCCTCGAGTATGCGCAGAAAGAACAACGGGGCTTGGGACTGTTAAGTCCAGCACTAGAATGCCCATGGACGTGGGTGGGCTGTCTGTGAGTTCGCATGCTAGCTACAATGTCCCACTGTCTTAACCTAATTTTAAATGTGAAAGATATTCCCTAAATCCTGTATGTTATTAATTCTTGCAGAAATTAACCTTTGGAGCTTTGAATGTGCTTCCTTCCTTCTTCTCCATCTTGTATTCTGCTGGACGATCCTTGTGGAACAGCTCACACACTTTAGATGAGGGATAGTAGTTGAACATGTAGCACATATCTTGGTCGTACCATTGACATTTGCACTCACAGCTTGCCTCGCTTGAGGCTGTCAGGGACTGCAGAAGTGGTCCAACGATAGTGTAATTTGTAATGGCATCAAGGTATGTTTTAGTTGAATGAAGAGGTGTCCTGCAAACTATAGCAGAAACATTAGCCGCCTTTTATGGCATAAACAGAATAGTGCAAGTCCTTTTCTAATTCAATAAATACCTTTCAGAAATCTTCAAATCGAATTGGAATTTTTTGCGGATGGAGGAAAACCGAAAGAACCCAGAGAAAAACCCTTGAATCAAAGAATAGACCTAATAAACTTTATTAACACGTCCAGGAATTGAACCCAATACCCTAGAGGTGAGATGCGAGTGCATTACCGCTATGCTACCCTTTGAATTCATTCATGAAGCTAGTGGTCTTTACAAGATATATAAAGTAAAATTTTGACTTACGCTCACATTTTGATCCTTGAAACATAGGAATGCATATGCAGCTGCTGCTTGTTTTGTCTCCAAGGGTATAGCACTGGCCACCATTGAGGCAAGGGTTTAAAACACACTAGAAGAAAGGTATATATAACATCCATTCAGATACATTGATACACACCTTCTGCACTGAAACCAATCGTTCTCTCTTCCTTCTCACCCTCACTGAAACAATTGCCATCCCCATCCAACCCTTACTGAAACCAATTGTCATCCTCATTCCACCTTTACTGAAACCAATTGTCTTCCTCACCATACCAACCCCACCCTCACTGAAAACATCGCCATACCCTCTCCCACCCTCACTGGATCCCTCGTGGTTTGAATACAGATCCATTCTTATTCTCCGCCTTGTAAAATGTTCATTAATTGTCGTGGTCAAAGTTCTCCAATAGAAAGATATAAAAGCAGGACTAAAAATAACTTATCAACCTTTCGTGTCTTGACTTTAGATCCATTCTTCTTCTTCACCTTGTACTCTGCAGCACGATCCTTGTAGAGCAGCTCACAAACCTTAGACGAGAGATAGTAGTTGAACATGTAGCACATGTCTGGTACAGCCAGGTGACATTCCATCTCACATTCTCTCTCATTCTTGGCTGTAATAGATGACATGATTGGGCCAACAATGGTGTGGTTTACTATGGTCTCACTATATGCTACTGAGGTGATGTTTGGACTTATTTGGCAAAAAGCAGCTGTTGAAAATGCATTTTTAAATTAGGTGAGAAATGTGCAATTACAAAGTCGTTATCTTTTGGATAGAAAGACTATAGTTTCTAAGGTTGCAAAAAGGAAGAAAGGAAGGAATGATGGGAGAACAATAAAGACAAAATATTCGGCAATAAGTAGCTGTTGAAAATGCATTTTTAAATTAGGTGAGAAACGTGCAATCACAAAGTCGATCTCTTTTGGATAGATGGACTAGTTTCTGAGGTCGCAAAAAGGAAAAAAGGAAGGAATGAGGGGAGAACAATAAAGAAAAGATTCGAGAGGAAAGAGAGCAATAAGTATGAAAGAAGGAAAAGGAAAACAAAACTAGTAAAAGAAAATTATTGACCCACATTTTATTCATTTATTTATTCTAGTTCAGCCCAAACACTTACTAGGCTATGCCACAGTGAGAGAGAATGCATAATTGATTAACGCTAATTCAGGTAAGAAAACAATTTCTCTGAACTTAGAGGAGGCATTTTGTTATTTACAAAACTATTCCTATTCCTCTTCTATTGCTATCCCCAAACGAGGAATGATATCGTTCAAATTTAAACATGTTCTGCCCTAGGAAATCGAATGGGTTCGAGTGCAGTTTGAAAAAAAAAACAAAAAAAAACGAGTGCAGTTCAAAATCAAATGTGAAAATCTTGATTTTAAATTGCACTAGTGATATCAACGTTTTTAATTTCAAAACTGAAATCGTAAAGCATACTCACAGCACGAGCACTTTGTTGAATGAAGAAGAGAGACCACGAGCAATGCCAGTACAGAACCAGCCATCATTCTTCTATTCCTATTTTTGTAGAATGAAATAAAAAAAAAAGACTAAAAATTGATCATCAAAACAATTGCAAGCTTGCAGCTTACTTTACTAAGCCTGTCAGTGAAAATTTAAAAAATAATTAATATGTACTGATATTTTGATTAAAACTTTAATAATAAGTAATAATATTAATAGTTATTCAGGGGATTTGGATTAATTTATTAACTTATTAACCGACGCGTACGCTTACGTAAGCGGTCACGAGTATACAGTACTTCGTTACGTACGATTGGACCGTTGGTCACAGCAGTATTTTTGGCGTATATAGACGGGAAAACTGAAAAAGTCAAGCCAGCACATAACAGAACAGATAATTAACAGTTTAAACAGTTTCTAACGGCTAAAAAAAACACCAATATAACGGAGTCTAACGGCTAAAAATYCACCAATTTTTGCCCTCGCGCCCTTGTTGACGCATGAATCAAACTGTTACTGTGGCATCCGACCAAACCATTTTCGAAGCGCGACCCCCGAAGTTTGATTTCTCCTTCGCCGACTAGCATTTCAACGACCTTCAATCAAGAACTGAAAGCAAAGAAAAAAAAGGAGATTCTAGACTGAATTCAAGATTTTAATACTCTAATCCTCTAAAATATTAAATTCAGTCCAAAATCTTCCTCAAGATATTTTTTCTTTGATTTCAGTTCTTTGATTGAAGGTCATTGAAATGTTAGTCGGCGAACGAAACATCAAACTTCGGGGGTCGCGTTTCAACCGATAATGGTAATAAATGAAAAATACAATATTTTGAAGTCATACAATCTATGACGCTTTGATTGATGTTCACCAAAACCTACGTCTTTCATCGCGACCACTGAGCGATTCCGCAAGAGGGCTTTATCGAGTAACACTGTAACAATACCTGTCCTAGTTTATTTTGTTGAAATTGATAACATTCGAATAGGATTCTGGTATTAGTAGTATCAAGTCGTATTAATAGAGAAGGACATATTAGTGAAAGTCATTCTGGGCCCTAAGACATTAGGCGCCTCTACGATGACGTAAATTGAGCTCGCATCAAAATGATTCAATCATTACGTTGTAGTTAAATACAATAATTCGTTTTAGCTAATTATTTCATTTGAAGAAAGTAATGAGAAGGTTTGTAGTTAAAACAAAGCATATAGTGCCTTTTCTGTCAAAATTTGGTTAGTTAGGACATATGTTTTGTATATATTTTTCTCGGGAGACATGGTGTCTGGCCCAACTCATTACCAAACACTCGATACAACATGACTTTTAAATTTATCATATTATTATACGATCCAAACTCAACGAATACGACATATCTTTTGAGAAGCTTGTGGGCGTATAAGARTTGGTAAAATAACTCTAAAATACAAAAAAGCGGCGATAAAGAAAGCATTAGGGTTTTTGAGTAAGTTTGCCTGTCGAATGATATTTTCTCTGGAAGTTTAAAAGCCGGCGCGGAAAAATGAAAGAAATAACTTGAAATTCCCTGAGTGTCAATTAACTATTGGTTTCTCTTTATTTTTTCTAAAATATGAAAATTAAGATATTAAAATAATGGTGAAAATGGTTTTCATTTAATAGAGTTTTAGATTGACTTTTTTTCTTCTTTCAAACGGCAAACGTGAAATTTTACTTAACCTCTTACAAACTTTCTCACTACATACAAATATTCTTTTGTTTTTCTTCTACTTGGATTCTTTTGCAAGTCCTTTTCAGTAATGTAAAAATACTTTTTCACTGGTCAACTGACGTTTGCCGTAAACGTAAACTCTAAAACTCTCTAATGATTATTGCCGTTTGCTGTGAACGTAAATCTAAAACTCTCTAATAATTATGGCATCGCTTGGGAACCGTCTGAAAGTTTTTGACGCAGGACTGACTTAAGTACATGTAAATTTTTGTTTAGTCGAATTCCTTGTAAGTGATAGACAGAATTCTTTATAAACGCACCTAGGTACTGAAATAAACTGCACTCAGACAGAATGGCGACTGATATTCTCAATAATTATTTACGTTATCTAGAAATCTGAAGTTTAAAAAAAAAGTTCGAACCTCAATATCATTTATCCCTAAAAGGGAAAGACATTACAAACTTTGGTCGCATTTAAGTGAATTAGAAACTTTTTAAATAGACTTAAAGACTTTAGAGTAAAATTTAATTGGCTCACCTTGAGTAGAGTTTGAAGTTGGTTTTAAAAACCAGCGTTTGGTAGCTTTGCTCAAACCAACTAAGCGTCCTTCTTTGTACCTGCTAAAAACACTTGCAGGCGCTGTCTCTCGAGAATTCTTCACATTTCCATCGATCAAACATTCTATCTCACAGTGACAGACAAGATTCAATATCTTTTTAAAACAATGATTCAGAAACTATTAATTATTAACCACACAGTGAATTTAAATCAAAATGATGGGGCAATATTTTTTAAATAACGTATTTCTGAACCTTTGTTACTGCGCCTCCATTTCGCGCATCTCGTTTTTTACCCTCGTTTGCGCTGTTTCGAACATTTATCCAAATATTATCTCAATTTAAATCATTTTCGATAACCTTCTTCTTAAATTTCGACAATACAATACAATGTGCTTTATTTATACCAGAGATTACAATAAAGAAAAATATAGATATAAATATATTTACAAAAGAATGGTAGAGGTTAACTAGAATAACTATATAAAGCTAAACGAGCTAGGTAACACAAATATCTGAAATTACAATGAATAATGGGTGGAAAAGAAGACTAAAATATAAAGATTACATTATCGATAGGTATCTATATATACATTATTATATATACTTACAATTATTAAATCATATTTATACGTACTGTATTACTATTTACATGATCTAAATCCTATGTATGCACACAAAAACACACACACATTAAACAAAAGAAAATGAAAAGCACACACTAGACATTCACATACAGAGAGAGAAATATATTTATTAAACAGGATCTGAAGGAGAATAAGTAGAAAGAAAAGAGGCTTTAAGTTTCTCAGAGAAAGGTCTTAAGCTCAGCTGTTTTAATGTATCATCAATTGAATTCCAAATAAGTGCACCTTTTTGTATCTTAAGTTAAATTTACCATAGTTAGTATTAAGTCGACGAAAAAAATGCAGATTTAGTTGTTGCTTGTAGCTCGTCTGTTGATGGGTTAACGTTGCAAGCATTCCCAAGAATGTCAATGGCGGCCATTTTGGTGCCATTAACGATGGATCCTAATTAGGCTGAATCTTTTGTTCAACGGCACCATCGCTCCCTCGCGAGGCCGCGATGACGTAGCGTGCAATCGAAGAATTAGTACGGCCCTTGAAGGTGCCTGCTTCACTAAAACGTAAAGTTGTGAGGAAAGTGTTTTACAAGGAATTTGACGCTGATTCAGAATAGGGTGTCCCGAACTTGTTTTCGAGATTAATGTAGGATTTGCAAAATCTACGACGACGATGTCCAGGGAATGAAATGTCTGAATCCAAGGGGGAAGGGAAGGACTCCCATTAGAGAAGGGCGGGGATGCACGTCGTACCTTTTAGGTAGGCAGATCTGCAATGTGGTACCTCTTAGGGTGTCACAAATCTAAAAGGACTACCAGAAAGTAAGCCAGTACCTTTTGGGTGTTTTTTTGAGGCAAAAAGATATCTGAGATTATATGATGACAGTCAGAATTGGCAGGTGTAATTCAAAATATTTATYTTTGGTTCAGGATCTGTCTTCTGTCATTCAGATCATAGATAATTGGTACCTTTTAGGGATAAAAATCTTTAGTTGCCATGCCCAGCTGGACAGGTCTCAGGTACCTCTGGGGGGTCTTTTACAAAATTTCTGACGAGAATCCCCACCCTAATTATATATAGGAGTCCCCCCCCCCCCCCCTTGGGTATGAATGCACCTAGCTGAAAACTCTGCTCCTGTGCCAATTGCGTTACATGTTGCGTTACGTGTTTTGTGATGGCTTCGACAATTAACACTATCATAGTGCCGTCACCTACTACGACAAAGCGCCATTTCATAAAGAAAAGAAACAAAAATCGGTAGAAAATGGAAATAGGACAACTGATTTTGATTTCGAATGTCTTTTGGACGCGCATAAAATCGTTACAAAGTTTAATGAATTTTTGAGATTTTTGCAGTTCCATCGTCAAGATATAAGCAATAGAGTCTTGTTAGATGTGACGTCATTCTAGGTCAATTGCTTTGGTGTATTACATTTCATGCTGTGGGGAAAACAATATAAACGTATAACGAAGGAACGGGGCACTTTTTATCTTTCAGAACATCAGGAAGGGACGGTCTTTTGTGAACGTGAGGTCCCTTGAGGACGAGGACTTTGCTTGGAGAAATCGTAGTCGCTGCTGGTCGTGAAATCTAAAAAACACTGAGAGAATGTCAAACACTACACTACCCACCTCAGGTATGTACAAATTAACGTGTATGGCTGTTCGTCGATCGTTTATAACGAATAAACAACGCAAGAGATTTTTGTATTAGAAGCGATTGGCAGTACAAGATTTCTTGCTTTCCAAGCTAGGAATTTTCATTGATTTCGATAGTTTCTTTGCTGCCTTGTCGTCTACTGATAGCAGCTGTTTAGAACATTTAGCTCTCATAGTCTTAATTTGTTGACATTTTGCTATACTGTAAAATACAAACGATTTCCAGACTTATGTATTTGATATAAATATTCTCTTAGTAATAACTGTGTTTATTTTACACGGTACAGGACGACCGGTCAAAAAGTTATACGTTTAGGGATTTCGTTCACACGGGACTGAGCGTCTGAACAAAAATTCGTACGCCTAACCGTGCAAATGTATTCGGTTCCATGTAAACAGAACGTATTTGTTTCCGTGTGAACGGCTAGTACAGGTCAGATTTTTGACCTGTTAAAAATTCGTCACGTATCACGTCACGGCTTGTTTACATCGGCTAAAATGATAGAAATTTAGGCTAAATTTAAGCTTAATTCTCTTCTTTCGAGATATTTAGCGTAATATTTAGTTGTTCTTGCCTTCACCAGCTCATAAACAAAATTTCATTGTGATTTAAGAATGTGTTGTTATCATTCCATCCCCCTCCAGCGACCATGATCCCTATCGTTAAAACAATAGTTAGTTTTGATTTGACGTCATGAAATAGGGCAATTATCATCATTGATTATCTTATGAATATTCACATAAAATAATCCATATATAACTCAGCCCCTTAGTCCAATTTTTTCCTTCATTCTCTCCCTCCCTTTATCCCTTAGCTTTCCGTTCTCATTATCTCCCTCCTTTCCTCCCTTCCTCTCGCTTTCCCTTCTTTCCCCTTTCCTTTCCTCCGATCCCTCCCTCTTTCTCACCTGCCCTCTATCTTATGAGCATTGAAAGTCTCAACTTGCGCAGCCAGTATAGCGAGATCTCGATGTGTGCCAGGGAGATCACTGAAAACTCATCTATGTGCGTCTTACTTTGTTGGCATCATACTCCCTAATCTAGTCGTGACCTTCGTTCGCCCAAAATTTCGGCAACTACACTTCCTCCATTAACAACTTCTTTAATTCATTTTTTCGGCTCGAAGTATTTTCACCAATCTCGACATCTTCCATAACTCCGACGCCAACAAGTTTATCCATGATGAGTACAGGCATTGCTTCCACAGGTAAGCCCACTTTGTTCCTAGAAATATACACGTGCTAGCTTTTAAACTTTGTTTTGTACGTCCCCAACTCAGTTATATCTAGAGCAGTTTTTGTATGACTGTAAAAGGCTCAGTGCCGTATGCGTGCTGTGACCATGACAATGACCGCGATGTTTTCTAGAATCTTAATTGGCCGATTGTTTTCTCGCCCAATATGATTGATCTGGCAGTGGCGTTGTACGCCCCGTGGACACGAGTGAAAAACGTCTGCGATGCTCAGAATCCGTATGCAAATTATTCAAAACATAAGTAAATTTGACTTTCAAACATGCCTGATAAATTGGACTTCACAAAATGCCAAAACTTAGT